TAAGGGGGCAGCAGGGTGGCAGAGAGGAGCTGCCTCTAAGGGAATAACTGTTCCTGGTCCATGAGGCCAAGAAGGTGCCCTGGGGAGAAAGTGTTTCCTGGCAGGAGACACATTAACCCCTGGTGCTGCCCATGAACAGTGGAACAGAATGGCTAAGCGTGGGGGCCCTGGTGCCGGCCTGCTCAGGTTCAAATCCTCGCTTTGCTACTTCCCAGCTGTGTAACCTCAGGCGAGAACTTAATATCTTTGGGCCTCGATTTCCTCTGGGAATAATCCCTACTCAAGGAACGTTATTAGGACTAAGTGGGCTAATTTCTGCAAAACACAGAAGAAGTACCTGTTTTCTCCTCACTGTTACATGAAGCATTCACTCATCTTCTAAGGGCAGGGCTCTGCAGCAATGGTGAGAAGACTAGGCCTCAGCTTGAAGGTCCCCTCCTCCAGGAAGCCTTCCCAAGCTCACTGTCAAACTCACATGGGTCGGGTTCCTCTTTACCGGCCACCCCCCTGTGGCACTTCGCATTTCTCTTTGGTTACACTCATACTAATAACTAGTTCCCCTCCAGACTCTAAGCTCTATGAGGTCGGGGATCTTGTCTGTCTTGTTTTTTACTATTTCCCTGTGCTTGGCACATAGTAGGTGCTTGGGAAACAGGTGTTAATTAGAGATGGAAGGTGTTGGGAAAGTTCCAGATTCGGGCTGTTTCAGGAGGGTCACTGAGTGGCCAAACCGTATATGATGGTAACAAAATCGGAGAGGGCCTGGGTGGGGACACTGGGCCCCCTTGGTCAGTGTCAGAGTGATGGACTTTCTGACTTCTCTCTTTTCCCCCTTCCCTCAGTTCCTGGCATTTGACACCCAGTTGCTGATGGGTAACCGACGCCACTCACTGAGCCCTGAGGAGTATATTTTTGGAGCCCTCAACATTTACCTAGACATCATCTACATCTTCACCTTCTTCCTGCAGCTTTTTGGCACCAACCGGGAATGAGGAGCCCTTCCTTCCTTCCTTCCTTCCTTCCTTCCTTCAAAGAATGTCCCCTTGCTGGTCCTCTGACCCTCCCTGTGCTCCTGCAAGCCCAGATATAAAACTAGCTGCCAGCCCATCCTGTGGCCTCCCCTCAGCCCGACACTCACACCCTCACCCTCTGCAGCTTGTACCCAACCACCAGGGGCCCTGTGGAACTGAGGTCACACCATCCCCTGTGCTGCCCCTTCCCCCCAGTTATATCTCCCAAAGTGGACAGTCAAGGCTGGAGGCTCCCCTGGGTTTGAGGACCCACAGAACGAGTGGGAGGAGCCCGACAGGATTCCAGATGTGGGAAAGGGACCCCAGGAAGCCTGACTGAGGCCTGCACCCCACCAGAGTTCCTCCTAAGACTGCCACAGCTGTGTGACCTTGGGGCACACTGTCCTGTGTCCAATCCACTCCTCCCTTCTTTCCTTCTAGATCAGGCACTGACCCTTGTAAGGAAGGGGGTGGGAGGACAGCTGGGCAATGAGGCGAGGCTGCTCTGCAGGGTGGGGGGATGTGGGGGGACCAAATGGTTGTCCCAGACTGCCAGTCCTCTCTGAGCTTTGGGACTAGCAGCTTGTTCTCGGCACTTGAGCCCTGGGGCCAAGGGCAATGGGAGAGGGACAGGATACCAGCGCCATCTGCACTTGCCTTGGTTTAGCTTCCTGGGCCATGATGGAGCACTGTTGGGGCAGGAGGTGGGGACAGGGGGCTCTGCTCCTAAGTGGGGACCTACCTGTCCTGGGGCTGTAAGGGAGGTGGGAGTCGGCAGCCTGCCGAGAGGTGTGGGCTCTGTAGTAGCACCCATTCACCCAGACCTTCATCTCCCTGGGGGTGTTTGAGGTTGGCAGGACTGAGACCCATATTCCCACATCCTCTTCTCTTGATCCCCTGGGCTGCCCCCGACCCCACGCCTGAGGCTGAGTGGAGTGCTTGGGCCCTAGAGGATTGGATGTTCCTGGAGAGGGAGGGTTATTCTAGCTGCTGAACAAGCCCCCGTGGGAGGGAATCCTGCCCTGCCCCACGGCCTTTGTGCCCTTCTTATTTCCTAAACTCTCTCCCATCTGCTGCCAGGCCTCCTGAGGCCTCAGCTGGCAGTGTCCCCATGTCCCTCCCCCTGGCTTCTCCGGCCATTCAGCCCGGAGTCCTAAGCCCCCTCCATTCCTTATCTCCTTATCTCTCCAATCTGGAAGCTGTTCAGCTGATGCTAACAGCCAGGGCCAGTCCCTCCAGCTGGTCCCATGTGATGAAGTCGGGTCTCCTTATCAGCCTCCAGGCGGCTGCGATCTCCGGCAGGGTGTGCGTCAGCCACCGGGCCCCCTGCAGGCCCTGCTGGGGAGGGGACCAGGGGGCCACACCTGGGGGAAGTGTGTAGCCAGCAGCCGACTCTGGGCCAGTGGAAAGTTACTGGGTGGAGTCAGGGAGGCTCAGATACCTGCACCTTCCCTTGGCCTCTCCCTCCAGGGCTCGCCTCTCTCCCCTGTGCTGGGGGCTCTGTTTGCTCTTGGAGGGAGTGACTAGGTATGTTACCTGTCTGTTTTGACTCTTCCCTCTCCGCCCTTCCTGTTGCCAGCTTCCAAAACACACTGCAGAAGCATTTGAAATTTTGTTCCACCTTGGGTATTTGAGGACAGAGGGAACCAAGAACAGATGGTGGTGTTGGATGAGACAAAGGCAACTGGGAACATGGCTGGGATGCCTACTCTGTGCTGGTCTAAGTCAGTCCGTGAAAACAATCCTATAAAGGGAGTAGCCTGCATATACCGACTGCAGAGGGAAAAGCTGAGGCGATTGCGGGGACTGGTAACGAGTCCAAGGTCATACAGCTGACAGACAAGGTTGGGGCTGGAATGAGACTGGGCAGTCAGGCCCTGACAGCTCTGGAGATTTGTTGGCCTCAGTGCCACCCCTGGCCTCCCCCTCCCCCCACTACCACCACCAAATTTTGTACTTTGTAGTTGCCACCTTCTGGGCACAAGATGGGAAACCGGAATCTGGTTTCTGAGTCACGGCCTCACTGCCGATGGGCTCATGGTATTAAGCTGTGATTAGTTTTGTATCAGCAAGATGGAAGACCATGGCCAGAGAGGTGCCAGAACACTTACTTGCACTGACTTCTTTATGCAGTTGCTACCTTTCTTCACTTCCTCTCCTGAGCTCTGGTCCTAGCTCCAGAGGCGCCACTCCCCCACTCCTTGGCTGCTATTCTCAGCCTGGGCCTTGGTCATGTTTCCCAGAATCCTCCTGTCCAAGTCCTCCTCTTCCTGGGACAGTTTTTGCAGAAATAGGATTGAGAAGCTTAGCCAAGGCTGGGCTCCAAAAGCTTGGGGAAGGAGGTAAGCCCTCAGCAACAAACAACATGACTGGGCAACTTGGCATTCTCAAAGCAGCGTGTGCTGTCCAGTTTCCCGCTCTGGGTCCTGGGAGGGATCCGGGACACAGTGAGCTGGCAGCAGAGTCAGGGCTCGGTGCCCTCGTCCCCGCTGCATCAAGGCCAGAAGGAGCCCCAAGAACACCTGGATGGGCTTGGAAGGAGGAAGGGGGTGGGGGAAGGTGTTACAGGAATGTGGGATTAGGAGAAACCTGAGCTGACCAGGTGCCACAAGCTGCAGAGAGGAGAGACCGCTGGCCCCATACATTTTTGGCAGGGGTGGGGCTGGGCCCAGGAAGGGGTAGTTGGATTTTACAGAGCTGGAGGCAGCCAGGAATCTGACCATCTGTGATGAAGT